AATACTATCATAGGTCTGGCAATTTAGATAAGAGGAGGATGTTAAAAAGTTATGATTGCTTGTAATTTAAGACTTAAAAAAGGAAGGAAAGGAAGGATGGATGGAAGGAAAATTAATGGATCAGAGAGAGGATGCTGTCTGCACAAAACAGTAGGTTTGGCATTAGAAGGGGCAGATGCCTCAACAAATTAGAGAGGTTTGACAGGTGTTTCCTGAAATCTATAGTGAGATGGAAAAGAAATTACTGTATCAACCTTAAACTATGACTCAGGTCTCCAAATGTAAATTAAAGTGAAACAAACACACTAACTTATATTATTAAAAACTACTGTCTCTGAAGTATAAATTACACTTTGTTGTTCATTCAATATGTTCACAAAGATAGTAGCCACATACTACCTTTAATTTCTTTCTGAAATCCAAGTAATTTGAATATTACTCTGAAACACGTGGTTTTTCTAGGAAAAATATACTTAAAGTGTCAGCATAACGAGGTCCTTCAGACCTTGAAGGTCTGGAAACTCTGAGCTAGCACCACAGTCATGCAGCTAAACTCATGAAGATTTTGATGATGTTACTAAAATATCCTGAGATACTAAAGAGGAAGTTTGTGCAAGGTATCTCTAGCTTTGAATGGAGAATTTATAGGCTGTGAGATGTCCAGATCCAACGTGCCTACGCAGTGTGAATTGACTGGGGAGTGCTTCCAGTGCTCCGAGAATGTGGGTGTAGTTCCTGCATAGGTGATACCTTGGAAGTGCACGTTGGATCACAATAATCAGTAGGGAAGGCCCCGATCTCAGTGTACAGAATGGAAGCACTGCAGCTGCCCTGAGTCCAAGGCACTGGAGTTCACTGTGTGTGTCAGTTCAAAGCCAGTCTGACACTGGACCCACCACTGGCCTGACAAAGTCAAAGCAGCTACAGCTGAGTCACATCACAGTGGGTCCTGTTTGGTCTGGCATCTGAGAGAGGTGGGACTCGAAGGCAGTGCTACACCTGTTGTGGGGCTGGGCAATGCTTCTTTCCCTTAGAACACACCTCATTTGCTTCTCAGTATTTTTAAGAAATGGCACAATGTATCCACTGTGCTTAATTTCTGAATATTCTTTGACTTTTAGCTGACATTAACAAGGCTCTCTTAGCTAAGAGAAAAAGATTAGAAATGTATACAAAAGCCTCACTCAAAACCAGTAACCAGAAGATTGAACATGTTTGGAAAATGCAGCAGGAGCAAAGGTAACACTTACCCTTGTTTTTCAAACCTGTGGAACCAGATTGCCTTTTGTGTCACAGCATGGATAGTTATTCTGTCTTCTTGCAATTAAATGTCAAGTACTGTATCTTCTAGTTCAATATCTGCTCAGGGCCTCTGCTGCCTTCAATTGTGTCCACTTTGCAAAACTGACAGTAATAGTTTAGCATATTCTCTTTTGAACAGAGAAACTTAAGAATTGGAATTCTGAGAGCAAGGTATGTTAAAGAGCTGGGTTTATTTTTATGGAAAGTGACCTTTGGTGTTATTTTTGTCTTTTAAAACAACGAGGAGGGTTTTTTCCTCTTTGGAATTTTCTGTTTCTACTTGAAAAAATGTTCAGTAAAACTTTAATGTTATTCAGGTTAAGAAAGAAAATAATTTTCACCCTACATAATATTTCTCTCCCCTCCTAAGACATATTTAATTACTACATCTGATACTACAGGTAGAGCAAACTGAAAAATGAGACAGTTAAAAACTGAAAGTCAGCAATACTTAAAGCTGTCTTGGTGTTGTTCTACATATGTGTATATATATATTTATCTGAAACGTCTATGGACAAAATTTAAATTTCCACAGAGAAACTTAGATCATCATAAACTCATGAATAAGCTGATCAACTTTGCGTTAAAAACCCCTTGAGTTAAAACAAAGATCTGTAATTGGGTTAGAAGAACTTGGTCAGAAAACCTGACACTGTTAGGAAGAAAAGTTGTTGTATTTCTTTTTAACCTGAGTTTTGTATGTGAGTGCTGTCTCCTTATATGTATATAATCCATATTCACTCAAAGTGTGTGTCTATATGTGTGTTCAGTTTTTCAAAACACACATTATTCAATTGGGGTCAGATGTCCAAATATCCTGTTTCTTTATCTATGTCAGCTTTTATCCTACTCCATGTGTATGTTGAATCTTAGCTTTCCTTGTAATTCTTGATAGCATTTGTCATACTTACAGATAGTGTCTGTTTATAGGCAGAAGCTCAATCATGAGTTCTCCCAGCAGTTCCTGACTTTATTTCAGCAATGGGATGTAGATGTGCAAAAAGCAGAGGAGCAGGAAGAAAAACTAGCGGTGGGTTTTCCAGCGTGGCATGAGTTTCACTGTATTTTCACAAGAAGGGAGTACCGTTGTTTAGACACTCAAAAAATGTAAAAAACACTTCATGTAGTTTAAACAAATATATGATTATGTTTTGCAAAGAGAGTTGCATTTATAAACTTTCTTGCAAGTTTATAAATGGCACTAAGTGATGCCCTAGGCCAGCATATGGCTTGAGAAAAGCCAAGACATTTATGGAGAAGAAAGATGTGTGCCATTTCTGTGCATCCACAGTCTTTTGGTTCAGGGAACAAAGGAATAATGGAAAGTAGTTTTTTCTTAAAAGTAGTTTGCTTAAAAATATGCCTGGATGTAGTAAATGTAAGAGAATTTGATAACTGAAGGGGAATAGGAACCATACCACGGAATGTAATAAAGTGATGTTGCTGTATTTGTTCTTCCAACACATTTGCAAGTTTTGCTTTTCCCCAGGCAGCACATTTAGGCAGCACAGTAAGGAGCTGCAGGGGACAGCAAAATCCTCATAGGATTTTACAAGGATAATTCAGGTTGTAAGGGACCTTAGGAGGTGATTCGGGGCTTAATCCAGTCTTCATCTTACTTTTATTACCAAGAGCAAGGGTAGCTTTCTGGGCAGAGATCTTCAAGGCACAGATTTTCCAGTGAGGGCAGAATCTCTGATTCTGGAAAATGACATTGGTGTGCTGTCCAAGTGCCTTGGTTAATAACTAATGCAATTATGTTTTCCTTTTGCTTCTACTTCAGAATATGCTTCGTCAGCAACAAAAAGTTTTTCAACAGGCAAGAATAGTTCAAAGTCAGAGACTGAAAACCATTAAGCAACTCTATGAACAGTTCTTAAAGGTAAATTTTTTCCTTGGAAGGCAGCTGATCCTTATCATATCACTTAAGAAAGCTGTAGTAATTGAGGTTTTTAAATTATTTGGTATTTTTGTAACAAAGTAGCTACATACTACACAGCAAGCAAAAAAATATTTTGATTATAACTCCACAAAAATTTTACTTTTTACTTAAAAAAAAAAAGGTTTTCCCCATTCATTTTACACCAAGAACAAAACACTTCATTCCCAAAATGTTCTTCCCCCGCTATTTTTCTAAGGTATTTGAGAATTAAAATGTGAGAAAAATGAAAATACCCTAAATGATTGATTTTATAATGAATGCAGAGGCACAGCACCATAGAATCACTGAAGGACTGAAGTTGGAAGGGACCTCTGGAGGACACCTGGTCTTGCCAGCAGGCAGTACAGTCTAGAGCTGCTTGCTTGGGACTTACCTCCAAATGGCTTTTGAGGATCTGCAAGGATGGGGCCTCCACAGCCCCTCGGGGCAACCTGTTCCAGTGCTCAGTTACCCTCACAGGAAAAGCATTTCTTGATGCTGAGAGGGAACTTCCTTTGTTTTCAGTTTGTCTGTCCTTCCTGGTCCTGTCACCGGGCACCTCGAGAGCCTGGAACCAGACCCAGCACTCCAGGTGTGGCCTCACCAGTGCTGAGTAGAGTGGAAAGATCCCCTCCCTCGACCTGCTGGCAACACTTTTCCTAATGCAGCCTAGGAAACTGTTGGTTGCCTTGCTGCAAGGACACATTGCTGGCTTATGTTCCATTTGGTGTTCCCCAGGACCTTTTCTGCCAAGCTGTTTTCCAGCTGCATGGCCCCCAGTATATGGGCTGGATTCAAGTCCATCAGTTTCTGATAAACTTTATTCTGTTCAAGTCATTTTCTAACTGGTCCCATTTTGAAATTTCAGTTAGTTACAATAAGCTTGGGGTTTGGTTTGGTTTGGGGTTTTTTTTCCAAGTCTGGTAGTTTAGGAAAATAAATCTGAAATAGAGCAACTTTTAGTTTAAGACAGTCAAAATTTATAGAGGATATTACAGAAGCATCAATAACTATTCCAAAATGTCAAAAATGTCTTCATCAAAGAGGAAAAGCTGAATAGTAGGTCAAGTATTACTTTGATTTTTCTCCTCAAAGATCAAAAGGTAGAAGTCAAACCTCAAATATGCTTAAGTAAATGTAAGTTAAAGAACATGCAACTAGACACATCCACAGAGGTAGGCATAACTGTAGGTACAAAAGGGAAGATAACCAGTGAGTTTTACTTGGGGAGAAGTGTGCAAAGACATGTAACAGGTTTTATAATCCTTACTTCAAGTCCCTCAAGGATGCCATAATACTGAACCCCTAGCATTCCTGACAGATGTCTGTTCAAGTTCTTCTTGTGGAACTCTTAATTAAGATGCAGAATAACTACCTAAGACCTCACAGAAAGTGACTGGAGGGTACCACTGCCTTCACAGGGTCCACATTGTTAAAACAGGAATGTAGGCTGGAGCGTGAAGTCCCGTATGATTCCTCTGTCAAGTTTGTGACAAAACTAATCAATTACCAGTGATCACTGTAAAAATTAAATTGTAGTATGAAAATGAATGATTGGTTTGTTTTAAATTAACTCTTTGAAACACTGAGGAGTTCTGAATTAAGATTATCCTTAACTTCAGAGCATGGACGAGCTGGAGAAGAGCAATGAAAATCTTCTGGCAGGTGCCCAAAATGAACTCCGCAAAGAAATGGCTATGTTGCAGAAGAAGATTATGATGGACACCGTAAGTATCAGATCTCTGAAGTTAGTTAAATGCAAAAATAGAACATTCTGTTAAAAGTCATTTGACATTCATTTAATTCAAAGGACTCATATTGATATGGCATTTGTTCAGTATTATCTCCTTTTCTCGTCACAGCAACAGCAGGAGATGGCAACTGTTCGCAAGTCTCTTCAGTCCATGTTATTCTGATGGCTCAGTGGAGAAACAAGTTGTACCTAAGTAATATGACACAAGTACAGGCATTAGCCACAGAGAAGGATGCTGAGCTATAAATGTTTTAAGGTTCCTATTAAAGGCTTTCTCGGGTTGTTCTAATCTTGTGTCTGATAATGTTGTAAGCACGTATATTATTAAACTGTATTAATGGGGGGGGCAGTATGGACCCCAAACTGTCTGTCCAATTCATTTTTAACTACTTAATATTAACTTTCAATAGCACTGGACTGTTAAAATTGTTTCACTTTTTCTAATGCCAAATTGTTACAATGGGCAGAAGTAATAAAAACCTGCAATATCCAGATTTTACATATTAACTTTAGGCCTTTAGGTAAATTGTGCAAATAGAAGCATTTTTCACAAGATGCAGATTTCTGTAGTTTCAGCATTTAGTCAGCTAACATATCAGCAGTTATAAGTTCACAGGGTATTACATAGCTCATGTAAGATTGTTTAATGATGTGTATTACAGTAAATTAAAGTAAATTTTGTTAACTCCTTTGTCACGCTAGGTATTTAAATATCCTTGTATTAGTAAGAGATTTATGAACTGCTGTAATTTGTCCAGAAAACATTGGGGTTTTTTTAGTTGAATGATGAGCTTTATGTATCAGCTCTAGTAAGCATAATTGAACATTATGCATTTGGGGGTATATACTTCTTGTAGAGCCACTGCAAGAAGATGGGGTAGATTTACTTTATTTACTTAGTACAAGCTATTACAAGCCTTTGAGATGGAATATTACTTTTTGCAATCCCAAATGACTAGCAATTTAGGGAGGCCTGAATTTTAAGGGTAAAGCATTTATCTTTCATGTATCTCATTGCAGTAAATAAGTATAAATTAAACAATTGGCTTAGTGTTCATGCAGTTTGTTCCTACAGCAAACCATTGCACCTGAATATCCACTTTACAAATTAGGTAGTTGCTCACACATTTAATGCTTTGATTTCATACCACAGTAGATAAAACAAAAACCATCCACACACCCACACACACAGAAATGGGATGTTTTCATAACAATATATTTCAAAACCATATCATTCTCCTCAGCTTACTAGCATTTTTAGTTCAGAATCAAGTCAATTGATGGTTCTTCAGTTCCAGAAGTCGGATTAGAGAAAAGTAACCTACAGAAACTTCAGCTATCAGGTTGCAACTGAAGTTGAATAAGAAACCAGTATTGAACTCCTTCTTCTGCCTCTACTAGGATTCAGGGAAGGAGCAATTATGGAAGTTACACTGTTACAATGATGCAAAGGCAATATGGGCCTCTCTTGGGTACCAGTAATGTGCTGCTGGGTCTCAGCCCTCTAAGGACAATTAGATGCTATGAAATAGTTAACAGATTTTGCTTCCTATCTTCAATAGGTGGTTATTTGTTAGTATTTCCTCCTGTTTCTGGTTTTATTTGTTAGCACTGACTCACGCCTCTGGTTTTCTAAGTGATTCCTGCATTGGTTTCCTGTCATCCACATGCCTCAATCATATCCTTAGAATTACTTACACCTACTGTGACATGACATAGTTTTGACCATTGTGGGGAACCAAATCATCTCACTCTAAAGAAGGTGCCTGTGGTTGTTTACAGTATTCTTTTCTATTTGCCCATGGCCTGAGTTCAGGCTAACTTCATGTGTAGATGCTGTGTCTCTCCCACTTTCAAATAGGAGTAGTAGGATTCATTCTGAGTTGATGTGAGTCACTTAAGAGTTCCAGTCCTTTGGCAGTAACTGTTACAGTTATCCCTCAAGAGTATCAGTAAATTCTTGTTAGTGTGGTAGATGCTATTTTATTCCCTCCAGATTAGTAGACAGTACACCACTAATAAAGTTCCCTAAATACCTCAGGAAGTTGTTCTGAATTAGTGTGCAGCCTGGAACCTGCAGTGATAGAATTTTTTAAAAAAGTCACAGCATTCTTTATTGAACAGTTCAGGAAGGACTTCATGAACTCAGAGCTCAGGTACATATCAACAACTGAAAGTAGCAATGGACACTTACATTCAACAGCTTTTTACATAAATCGTATTCAAATAGTACCTCTTTAAAGGAGCTTAAGGGGTTTGAGTGCAAGTCCTGATTTGTCCATACAGATAATAAGCTACTTTTCTCCAATGACAACAGCCCTGTAGTTAGGCACATTATGTTAGCCAGTGGGTCTGGTCCTAAAGAGGCAGGCTGACAGTGGGTCTGACTTCCTGGTTTGGAGTTTTACACTATGGTTTAGTTTTGTTTGGATAAAGTACAGCGGTAGCTACAAGAAAATTAGATCGATTATAAGGAAGATGAACACAGTAATAGCAAAAATACCACACAGGGAAATACACACGGGTGGGTTGCATTGCTAGAGCTGCAGTCATTTAAATCAATGACCTTTGTCATTTGCTTGCACAGTTTCACAGATACACATTAGGGTAGCTAAAGTCAGTATCCTTGAATTATCTAGTCCAGATAACGATGAAGTGTAAAGAGACAAACCTTGTTATGACTACAAAACCAGAAACTGGCCTTGAAAGAAAGCAGAAGCTACAGTTTTATCTGGTAGCAGTAATTTATGTGCTTGGATACTAGAGAATGCATGAATCCTAAAGGCACTCGTAAGTAGAATACTAAGTATTCTAAGTAGTACTCCTAAAGTATTCTGAAGTAGAATAAAATTTTCCTGAACTCTACCTCCTTCATCTACTGATCCAACAGCTTGTTCCTTAGAAATACCAGAAGAGAGACTGAGTGTTTTTACCTCATGGCTGCCTCATTTTACCAGTCTTAATACTGCAGTACTGTATTTAATTGGTACATCTGACTACCACTTCAGAGCACTTCCAAGAAAACTTTAGAAACTAATGCTACAATATTAGTCACTTGGTCTAGGGAAATGTGAAATTCCTCTTTAAATTCTGGTTGGTAGCACCTTGGTTTGCAGCCTACATTCACCAAAAGAGAAGTACAAAATTGAAGTTACCTAACAGGAAAGGGCAACATTTTCAAATGTGGTACTGATGGTCTGAAATACATCCTGGTTCAAAAGTATTGATCACAATAGCATCTGCAGAACTTTGTTATCTACTAATTCTAATATCTGGTAATGTCTGGGATACGGTGAACTTTCTCATAAAACTGTTTTCTTCAAAAGCTTAATCTGTCTTCCCAAAAACAGAGGGGCTGCTTCATTCAACATTCCCCTAAATGCTTCTTCTCTTGTCCTTGACCTATTTAATCAGTCATTATGGTTTTGAACCTGTTCAGGAGCTTGATGAGATGAAATTCTGAAGACATGTATATGAAGATGAGCAGCAATCTGTAGGCACACACCAGTGGCATATCTCAGCATATCAAACAAGGATATGAACTTCAAAAAAGCAAAACAGAACAGGTTAAAACAAAGTCCAACCTTTTTTTCAATTGTCCCTACTATAAATATGTTATACTTTAACCAGGATCTATCCAAGTGACAATCATTTTAACATATGGCTACACAGTGGTCTAAGTTTAGAAAAAACCAAAACCACCCCAAAACCCCAACACCCAAACAGCACTAAACACTTGGAAAGTCCAATAAACAAAGGTTAGTGTGCAGTTCACAGAACAATTTAAACCCACATGGGCTAAAGCATAATTACATGAGAGATTTGTAAATTTACTTTCACATCTTTCTTCCAAGGAAAGAAAGCCAGTCAGCTCCCAAAATACATGGTACCCTGGCACTACCTCCACAGCAACAGCTGAAATGGGAGCAGGTCAGAAATGGGAGCAGGTCAGAAATGGCAGAGCAAAATTACAGGGATAATTCTCAATCCATTCCTTTAACTATGGTCCAAATTAAAAGTATAAAACACTTACCAATGCTATCCACAGAACAATATATTCATCAATGAAACTGTTGAAGTACTGGTCCAGAAACAGAAGTCCTGGCCCAATAAACGCAGAGTCCTGAAGAGAGATTTCACTTTTTGTCATGTGAGCCACCTGTGTCAAAAACAAAAGCAAATGTGCATGACCTCCTTGCACAGCCCTGTTCTCTTGTAAGTTACATCTGTACCAGTGTAGGGGTTTCCCACTCTTTAATTTCTCAGTGTTGTATTCAAAGGGGTAAGACTACGCAATTGTATTACTGAAAACAAATCCTATCCACTTGAAATGTTGTTTTCAAGTTTAACTTGAAAATATTGGCTTTTCCTAGCCAAAAGCTAACTAAGAAGCAGGCTTTTGCTTAGGTAACAAGACTTGTTCTCACTGTTTAGTAAAGTATGCTCAGAGACACTTTACAGACTGACCACGAGAACATTACTGAGGGCAAAGGGAAAAAATCTGTTCTCCCCATATTTAGCACTCTTAGAGACAACTTGAGCTCACCTTTAACTAAGAGTTCTTTGTAGAAACTTGGTGACCTAATAAAAGAGATATGAAGAGTTCATACTAGGAAGCTTAAAAATGGCAAAAGGAAAGGAGTTTAAGTGCCAAGTCTGCCATAAGAAATCATCCTGTCATTCCTTAGTTCTTTGCTTGTGGATACTCGGCAAGTATGAATAAAGTATCGAGAAGCTCTACTGAACAAAGTGGTCTCTTAGCATAAGAATATATCATGTTCAACTCCATGCTGAACAGCAAAATTCACAGAAAAGCCTGTGAGTGTTCCAGTCTAAGGACAAACCAAAACCACAACCAGGGCAGAAGCTGACAAAGGCTTCCACACTAAGGCAGGCAAGGATGCATCTCTCCTGCTAGCAAGATCTGCTGAAGGGAGCAATTCCTGGCTGACATCTGGAGTGGTGTGCAAGAGCAGCCCTGCAGGGTTAGCACCCATAGAGTAGCTCTGGCACATCCACAGAAACTGCACTGATCTCAGCTGGGCCTCCCACCAGGTGACACCTTCAGTTTTTACTGCAGTTTGCTCACTCCAGATAAACCCACGAAATCCTCTCCCCACTACGGTTACAGATTTGCTCCTGAAACAGATTGTCCTTAAAGCTACACATAAGGCATCCAGGGAATTATGGTTTGCTCAGCAGTGCCCATGAATGAGGGCACATACACACAGGGGTGACTGCTGGTTACAAGGACCCAGAGCTCCTCTGAATGAGCAAGGAACAAACAAGGCAGTTCATCTGCTTGACAGAACTGCCTCAAGTTCAGTCTTAAGGCTCAGTATTCCTATCAGCATTCTCTCTCTTGAAGAGGTAGTAGTAGCTCACTAGGTGAACACCTGTTTAGCAAAAAAGTCTGTCAAATACCTGTTTTCTAGTGCTGGAAAAATGTGATGCTGGGAGAAAAAAGTGAGCTGGCTGGATTACTGTTATTAGCAAATATGTAGTAAGGCAGATTTTTTTTTGATTTTTTTTTTTTAATCCATTGATGTGGTTTTTATGTTTAAAAAAGAAAAAGACAGGAAAGTTTCTCTCACAATTTTAATGACTAAAGTAAATTCCTCTTTTAGATAACTAAATCAGAAGTCACAGCACTGTTAGTAAGGTTTGAGGGACCAGAGTTAGGATGTTAAAGATAGACAGTATATTTCTAGGAGTAAATTAAACAAAACTGAAAGTTCTAATCAGGACATTCAACAGGAAGTATGCATTTGCAGCAGTATCATATAGAATCTGTCTGTAGGACCCTGAGTATAGTTCAGTGTCTTGGTCATAATGAAACTGGCAGAGCAGAATGGGAAAATTTGCATGAAGCCTTCTGACCTAGCAAGTGTTAAGCTGAGAACTAATTTAGTTTTAGGAGGTTAAAGACTGAAAGAAAAATTCTTACCACTAACTTCTGGGAGATTTTGGCATTCACAAACCCAAATGTTAAGACATACAGGCAAGCATGTTTTTCAAACAGCTGAGTTGTAGACTTTTTATAAATCATAATGGCCAGTGTGATAAGTAGTCCAATGTGCAGGCCTGGCGAAAGAACACTTGTTCCCTGAAATGTAAATGGACAGAAAATTTGTCTTAGACTTCAGTCACACAGTAAGGTCCAGATTTTATACATATTGCAAATCCCATTAAACAAAACCAGACTTGCCAAAACTCGAGAAAGTCCATTAGCATTAGGCCACTGCTATTGGTATCCTTTGCAGTGACCACTAATCAATTTTGTAAGAAAAGTCATTGCTGGCTCCCACGACAGAAGAAATCCAGTAACAGGCAGAGAGAAGTTAGATAATACAGTCTTTACTTTAGCCATTCAACACTCCTGTGCCTGTCTGCTTAAAGGCTTAAACAAATAAAACCCTTATGATCATCTGAAATGCAATAAATTACAGGCATAAATTATTCAAACCTCATTCAGATTTTTAGAGCAACTTACTGCTATTGTGGATCCATTCTTTCCAACCCCTCCACCAAAGATGACACGGAAGTAATTGAAAAAAGAAAGTGCTGTTCCACACAGGATGCCAATAACTGCAAAGAACTTCAGTTCTAAGCCCACCAAAGGGACCTTAGCAGAACACAAAAAAAACAAAAACACCACAACAAGACAAGAGAAAGATATCAGAGGTTAAGCACAACACCTTTTTTAAAAAGGGATTATAGAAGCCACTCACACCTACTAAACAAACATATTATTTCAACTCTTGCTTTCCCGGGAAAAAGCTCAGGACAACAGTGTTTGGAATTTGTCTCCTTACTAAGGAAACGAGAAATATCTTTTGTAATGTTTAAACTCAACTTTTGAGCACTTAAGTTCTGTTCTTGAGATTCAGCTAGATCTTACTCTGTTCCTCCTTACTATGTTCTTCAAACATTTTTACTACATAAGCAAAAACTTGACAGAGAGTACTGCATCACCATGGTATGGGAGGGGGGAGGAGGGGAGTTCCTCCTATTTCACTGGATAACACAACACTGAACCACAGGAAACACAAACACCATCTGCCTGCTGTGTGTTTTGGTAGGTTATTTGTATGCTGTATCTTTGCATATCATGAGACTATGCTGAATAGTCTCCAGATACAAATTGTAATTAAACAGTTACCTTTTGGAATCAATTGCAGTTTCAAGGAACCTTCCAAAGGCAGCAGAGGATTAAAAAAAAAAGTAGTAATAAATTGAAACCATTGACTATATTTTTGAGTATAGAATGTTTTGAGATACAGCATAACTACAACAGATTTTAATAGTGAAGGAAAAAGAAATCAATCATAATTAAAGTCTAATGCACCTACTTTATTTTCCAACCTTAAAATAAGCTTTTTGAAAACAAACAAAAAATATCTTGCAGTATGGGGAAAGGAAAAACTTTAGCTAAGCATTTCTTAATTGCTGAGTAAACTTATGAATTCATTCTAATTTCTTGGTGGTTTATATTTAGGTTAATTTCTATTGGTTATCAATAGTATGGAATGCTTTCAGCTCTTCCTTCTGCTACAGCCAAGAAGAACTATAAATTTCTGAGTAAAGACCCTAGAAAGGATGAAGATCTTAAGTTTCATATAATTCTGATACTGTCCACTAAAGTACATCTCTAAAGATCAGAATAAAAGTCAGAGACAGAAAGGAATTCTATAGAGATATTACATTTATGTGGCTGGGACGTAACTGTTAGAAGTCAATGTATCTGCATCAACACAAATATGGACTAACCAAAACCCCCCTGACTTCATCCCATGGTTTCATTAAATTAAAACATTTCATCCTTAAATTTTAAAGTAGATCATCTAACTGAAAAGAAATGTATGTCTTACAATATCCAAAATATATCAAACCAGAACAAAAACTATTCGCTGAAATGTAGAGTATTATTTCCAGATCAGAAGTTCATATAAGTGGCAGATGGGGTCTTTTTTCCTCTATGTAGCTCTAAATTGTGCATAGGGAGTCACAACATTATATCTAAGGTAACTACAACATCAAAACAACCTGCATTTATACAATAAGCTAAAACAGAACATTAGACAACTGGTTGGTGTCAAGGGTACTTGCATAGGACAGCTTCAAATACCACAGGAACAGTGAGCACTTACAGGAACAGAATGCTCAACAGGAACTCTGAACACTTAACACACTTACCTTATAGTCCCATATTGCTGTTCCTGCATATGCAGATATCAAGAGCAGCATTGTTATGGCTATCTGAACTTCAGTTACATCAATTCTGTGAAGCAAAAGAAGAGATTTAGTTAAAGAAAAGGACTTTTTGCTGTGTGTAAAGTGTATGCGTGTGGGGAGGGGAGAATAACTATCCTTCTATAACTATCCCCAGTGACTATCCTTCAAATTATATCAATGTACATAAGTTACTTTCCTTGATTGAGAAAAGTACTCTATATGTAGGCACACATCTCTGGCTAAGATGTAAAATTAAAGCTATACTCCTTATCTGGAGCAAGCTGCATATCATTTTAATGGAGGAAAATCTTCAGTGAATACATTGTTAACTATTTGAGAATTGTGTACAAATTTACAGACTTGTTGGTAGGTAAGTGTCAAATCAAAGTTTAAGGGAAGCTCACAGGTAAATGCAATCAACCATTTCCAATAGAAGCAGAGCACATAAAAGCAGAGACTGTAAAGAGCAGGCTGGGACAGAAGGGATTTCTTTAAGCCAGCATATCATGAAAATCTGACAGATACAGCCTGCAGGACATAAGGGAGGACTGAGTCAAAGGACAGCTAAGCATCTGTCCCATTTCTGAGGACATGTAAGTGCTATCTTGCTTTTTCTTCATAAAAGCTGTTTTAAAAAAGGTGGCCTTGTATGCCCTATTAAGTCTAGACTTCCAACTTTTTTGTTCTCAGACAATTCTTTAGTACTGTCTTAAACTGATGAAATGTTATGAGAAGAACTCATTTAAGCAGAGACTCAAGACAAAAAAAAACCCTAAAAACTTCCAATAAAGCTTTAAAATAAATAATAATAATAAAAAAAAAGTTGTGCACATCAAAGGTGCCTTTTAAGGTACCAAAGGTTTTGAGACAGGTACCTGATCTTCATACTGAAGCTACCAGCAGTGACAATAAATGTTCAAAATACAACATCTCTTTTAGCAGTTAGAATAAATTTGCTGGTTCAAAATATTATGACCAAAGTCAATGTGTATTGTTACTTACTTAGCATGTGAACTGTTTGCACAGGAAACAGTTTATTTTTAAAGGGAGAGAGCAGTCAACTCTTGGTGAACAGAATATTCACCTGAACTTGATAATTGTGTTAACATTAAACTCTCTTCTTTCATTAGAAAGATGGTGATAAAATATGCTAGGTTTAAACTGCAGCTAGGTAATAAGCTGAGGTCCTTGTCACTACTTAAAGCTGTTAGAATGGGGAGTCCTTGTCTTCCTACACCATTGCATTCCTCCAACTTTACCAGCTGTAGTGCTCATCAGACTCCAAGGTGAGCCAGTTCAGCCTGCCAGTCTAGTGTAGGTTTTTCATCTTCTGCCCATTTCATGAACTGGCTCAAAGTCAAATGACAGTCTGTTATGGGACAGTGGTGCTGGGAGTGGGCTCTTCCCTCTCTGCCAGGGATGAAGTGTTACATCTACCCAGTCATTGCTGAACTTGTTGGTTACATCATTCAAAAGTGTCCATGTGCAAGTGCAAGGGTTCACAGGTTGCATTCAGCACTGTTAACACTTATTTCTAATCTGTATTGGCTTTGTTGCTGCTGCTGGTGGGAGGAAGCTTGAAGTTGAATCATTATATGTGCCAAAGTTTAATACTCAGTTTTACAGAGGCTCAGACTGTTGGTTGCAACAGAGCCCAAATCAGAGTCCAAAGACTTTAATCAGACACTGTGCAGTATTCCACATAACCTGACAGTGTTACATTATTCAGCTCTCTGATCCTTCCTGGCCATCAGCAGTAGGAATCTCTCATCTGTGATTCGATTTCTAAAATCAAGTGCTGCTAATTTGGGAACAGCATCAGTGAAAGGTTCCATCCATGTTATTATGTATTACCATGTTTAGAACACTATACTAATGCCTTCTTCATTTAGACTCACACCTCTGTTCTTAAGAGAAACAAAACTGCAAGCCTTGAAAAAAAAACTGTGACCTGTTTTCACTGAACAGAAATGAGTTATCTTGGAGAAAAGTTTTGTCTGTTTAACTTCAAACAGTAAGCATGGAACACCAGGCCATTCTGAACTGTCTGTACTATGCACTATCACTGTGCTTAAGCAGAAGTAACTGAGTTTTTAATGATGTAATTTTTATGTGGTATAGGAGTCTCAGTGCCTTCCTGATGTGAGGAAATCATTCTCACACTTTATGCAAGAACAAAAGTCACAGAAAAGCAATCATGTCTGCAAAATGGCAGGGCTCATGGCACAGTCCATCTCCCTTCAGTCACGCACAGAAACGATCCTATTTCAGCCATCACTCTAAAGCACCTATTTTTGTTTACAGCACAAGATGTCCTTTAAAAATTCAGGACGTGCAGGCAGGCAGAAGAATTATAGTTTCCGTGGTAAAATGCATTATCAGCAAACTAAAAAGAGCCCTTAGCAATATCCCAGGGACAGCCTGCATTTGATGCAGACATCGAACAGTGTGCGAGGACAGCTGGTCACCAGCCTGTGTGCCCAGGGATGCTCAGATTTGCTTCTCACAGGTCAAAGCTAAGTAGGACTATGAACAGGTGACTTGGAAAGTCACTGGGATTAGCAGAAGGACAGCCTTCACCTATAACTTATTTCCCATTTTGCTGCCATGGAAGTCTCTGATCTTTTCCTCACTGAAGTGCAGCTCATTGCTTAAAAACAGCAAAAGGCCATGGCTAGGCACCACCACAGCTACAGGAGGGTGCAGCAATCCCCACACTATTAGCAGTTAAACTGAAATCATATCTTCTTCATGAATGTTATGACTTTTCCTCCTACGCTGCAGTGAAACAGATGAAACTTCTATCAGGTCATGAACAGCATCACAGCAATCTCCAGAACTGTGACCTAAAACAAAACCTAAAGGACATCGAAACCAGCATGAGCCAGATTAAAAGCAAGGCCTCCACATAAACGTGGGGTGATTTTCAAGCACTGCCATAGCTCTGTTGGAGCTCCTTGCTGAAGGATGCAATGGATGCAGAGAGTTTGCTCCAAGGAAGACTGAAGATGTCTATGAAAGGGAAACCCATTAGCAGGAGAATATATCTAAAAATGTATGTGGTCTAGAGTCCCCTGGGGCTGAAACTGTTCTGTGGCTTGGAGATTACAAAGGTAGGTACTGCACATGCTTGGTCTGTCCCTACTCCTACACAGAGCACTTGTCTGCAATGTAAACAAGACGTCTCTGGCCTGAGCCTGCACGGTGCTTTTATGGGTTCTGAGAACAAATCTGCAGACAGAAGAGCCAAATGCATGCAAACAAAGTGTATACAGCTAAAAATCAGCTGCTAAAAGAACAAGTCCTCAGTATTATGCAGAGTTTAAACTTCTTGCCAGGTAAAACACAAGAGTAGAAGAACGTGAGAGAAAGAGAAAGCAGGGAGTAAACCAAGAAGAAACTGAAAGCAGCTAGCAGCCTCAGACATTAAGCCACATGTGCTTCTAAAGATACCTACTTACTTTCCAAACCTTAGTATGCCTGATACATATGTCTGCCAGTGAGCAGAATAGAACATGAACAGTCCCACAAAACAACAGAAAAACAACCAGTCAGGATTTGTTCCTAGTCGGATTGCTATGCAGGATCCAAGGACAACAAAAACTGAAAAGCAGAAATGAACATGTTAGTTATATAACCTCTTTGCTTGAAATAGAGAAATTACAAAAAATAAAATAAAAATCACAGGGCATTTTACAATCACTCTAACAAAGTAATGCTATGACTGATACTTTACTGAGTAGCTAAGCTGCTAACCTCAGGGAGAGTCCTGGCAGGAGAGGCCAAAACACAGCACTCCTTTTCTGCCAAGTGAGGGCCCTGCCTTCTGGCCTTCAGGGGTTCTCCCTTCTCCTAGCCTTGTCATCACTGTGTTCTCTGCAACACCGGCAACTTCAGCTGAAGGGCTCAGCTCAGAGACTGGCAGCTGCACTCCTCTGGGAAATGAGGCATAAAGAACCTACTAACTCCCAGAGCAACTGGTTTCAGCCAGTAAGCTTTATAGAAGGCATTGGCAACAACAGCCACTAAGTTTTGGAAAGTGAAATTGAGCAAGGCTTACTTCTTAAGGACTCACAACTTTTTTAAAACTCATTCTTCTATGGAATTATCCTTCTTCCAAGTGCCAGGCTGGATGCCCTATTACCAAACTGATATTTTGGCACCTCTCTCCTAAAGTTGAATCTTTAGTTTCACATGCCAGCATCAGTCTTTTATATCCTTCAAATACTTTATTTTGCATCACCTGTACCCTATGGAAAACACAGGCTACACAAAGTAAAGAATTTGTAGGCATGCTCTTATGGAGTTCTTTGTTCACCATCTAGCTCATTCAAAGAACACTGTATGTGAAGGTGCACAGTAAATAAGACCAGAATGCATCTTACCCAACACCTGCCAAAGGAAGTTCTGAAATATCCCCCCTGATACTGGACAAGGGTGCAAAGGTCAGAGGCAGACTTGGCTGCGTGGACCAGGAGATGGAGAAGTCATACTAAAAGATGGGAATATGCTGACCCTGCTCTGAGCAGGGGTAACTTCTATAAACTAGGATGGGTAACAGTAGGTGAAGGCTACCTGTGGAAATAGAGTCGCAACCATGATCAAAGAGTTCTCCTAAAGGAGAACTAGTGTTTGTTCTTCTGGCTTGCTTCCCATCAATGGCATCCAGAGACTGGTAGATAAAAAGTCCTAATGCACCCAGGATGTATGCCCAAGAAGGTGCCTGAAAGAGATTCACATAAAAGGTCACTAGGTAGTTCCCAATTTCTTAGCTGATAATCTGTTTCATTAAAGGTAAAACAATACTATATTGTGCTATTTGTTACTTAATTAACAGGCAAACCAAACACCTTGCACTAATTTCTATGTGAATTGTAGTAACTACTGTAATGAACTACTTCAGATACACCAGTGGAACACAGGTCTTTCTATTTACTTTGAAAAAAACCAAAACTTTACGTTCTATTCTGCATCAACTGGTTTCTTTTTCTACCTTAAAACCACCATATTTCTGTAATTATTTGCATTCTTTGTGCTGAAAAATGTTGTAAAAATAAGATTAATCTTTAAGAAAGAAAGCAGTGGCAAAGCCCTTACTAAAGCTCTCAGCGTTTTATGTGATAGACACTTAGATGATTTGCTCAGATTTACAACATATACATATAAAAACCTGTTGCGTTTTTTACTAAATAAAGACTTCAGCCTCTAGGGAAAGGTATTTTTTCCAACATAGAAAAATTGACTACATAGGCACTTTGGATGGGGTTTAGAGAAATTAAGTAATTCACTAGACATGCAGGAGCAACTATCTACTTAATTTACACTATCAGAGTTTCAAAATGAGCTGTGAATTAGTTACATTAACACCAGTCTTAGGTTCAAAGGAACTGTTCTGCAGTCATTCCTTTCAGAAGAATTATTTCCATATGCATAGTCAGTATGACTTTGTCTAGGAATTAAGTTTTGCTAAAAATTATTTAAAACATCTATTGAACAAAGCACAGGTAACATTTTTGCCTCAAGTAGTGTCAAGTGGTATCCTCAGCATTTAGAAGCGCTGTTCATGAAAAGTCAGGTATAAATGCTGGAAATGCAACTTGCAGGTTGAACAAGTGAACACACAGAGGGCTGGATCCTTTCCGACTCCCAGGCAAGGGACAGCTGCTGTGGCACTCCACCTCTGCAATTCCTCTCCTGCAGCACACATTGACCAACATGATTTCAGGTATTCCCTAAGTCCAGTAAAGGCTATTAAGCAGATTTAGACAGATCAGATCTCGCCAACATTCCCGTGAAGTGCCACAAAGATAACCTGCAGTGTTTCACGAGGCGTCCCTGCTGCGACACCCTTCTACCAGTTAGGAAACGACTGAGATCTATCAAAACTTGTCATCCTAATCCCTGGATTTTAGCAAGTAAACAAGGCCACGCTTGGCAATTCTGCACAGGACAACACCGGCTTTTTGGTTGCATTAGGCTCCCCTCCTTTTGCAACCATACACCTCTAACTGAAATAGATTTTAGCTTGCTTTAGTTATCAGGTTCTCCACACCACAGACGAAAGCAGACTGTATCCAGTGCTAAATATGCTAGCCAAATTCCTTAGCCACTCAGCATTCACCCCAGCGTGAGGCACATCACCAATGAAGTCAAATGCCAAAGCATGGGCACTTTCTTACTTAACTTGATCATTTCCATCACTGAAACACCACTAAGGAAGAGAAACGTGTTATGGCACGTTATCATTAGCTGTAGTGCTGTATGCTGCATGCATAGCATCAGCACAGTCTTTTTAAATGCAAGATCCAGGAGAAATACAGCCTCAATTCTAACCAAACCAGAAGGCCTGCATGTTGGTCACTGTAGTCAGTTTATGAAAGCTTCCACAACCCACAGAACATGATGCAAGAATTTCTGTTCAAGGTAACACTGTCTACATTTATCTTGCTGCAAACAAATGTAATACATTAAATGTAAAAATAAACAAATAAATCAGCTTTAACTCAAACTTCTCTTATTAGATCTTTTTGACAAAGAAATGGCTTTTGTCTAGTTGCAAGCTATAATAAATACAGGTATAATCATTCAGACTGCTGATCCAAATCTGTTTGCATTGCCTTCTACTGGGACAAATCAAAGCAACAGTCCTCCTAGACTCCAAAACTAGAGCACTCTGCCCCTTGATCTGGAAAGGCAGGGAGAGAGTGTTCACCTTCTTCCCAAGGATCATCTGTATCCATTAGCACCTGTAGCAGGTGTATCAGTATTCCCACAGTTGAGGAGAAGGGAAAAAAATCCTGGTTAAGAACAGGGGAACAGGTGTCACAGAACTTAGAAACACCATCTGGAGCATTTCATCCCCTAGCTGTCAGTTCAAATTTAACCCAAAGTGGTAATAACCAAAATTAATTTGTGATCAACTGTCATTTCACATATTAAATGAATGCTCTAATGTTTTAACCAGTAAAAAACAGTTTTCCAAATCACCAACGGTAAACTGAGGTTTCCAAAGTTCCTAATAACCACGGATTTTCTCTGCTATTCACCCTCTCAATACAACTACAGCTGGTGTCTCCTCTGCCTTCTCACATGCCTGGCTCTCCATCCAGGGATGTCCCCTGACAGCTTCCCACGCTGGACCCAAGTAGTTCACAAATTAGAGAAGTGGGAACATTTGAGAATGCTGACATGGCTGACAGACTGAGTAGAAAGGTCAGGAGGCTCCCAATAACCATCAGCTTTTCACTGATGAGGTGTTTATTATCTCTGCCCAAAGTGATATCCTGCCCAAGCAAATGTATTATTTGGCCAGAGCCAGATGCTATTCTCACAGAACTATAAGAGAACACAAACCTGGGTGAAGGAGGCCAGCAGCAGAGGAGATGCTTCTCTGCTTCAATTCAAAAGGATGTCTGAAAGACCATACGGCCCCAGAATCTTGTCACACACAAATTTGATACAGCAGGTTCGGTCATCTACTGAACCAGAGGGTGCCAAAACAATAAGCCATGTGCATGTTGTGTTTGACAGGTATGTGTGACATACCTCTCCTTCAGTGTGGTAGTTTGGTCTAGGCCTTCCTTGGTGACCAGTTTGTAACCAAGGAAGGGTCCAGATTTACCCAGTATTCCCTATGATTTTTACGTAAACCAGGCAGAAACATCAGATAAGGGTGATAAGGTTTGGAGACTTGGCAGGGAGCCAGCTTCAAACCATATCATTCAGAAACAATGGAGGTAGAACAGCAACCATTCTTCTGCTTCTGTGATTCCACCTCACAAAAGAGCACACAAAGCTGCAGAAGACTATATGTGTCAGCGAGATCCCTTACGACTTGTTTCAAGCAAAGTCCAAGTCCAGAGGGTTCAACAAGCTAAGCTCTTGCAATATTCAAGGATTCAGGTCCCCTTAACTACTCATCACATTTAGCCATAATCTCACTTCCTCAATCCACAGCTAATAGCTTTGGCCCAGTTTACATGGCCCCTCTTTGGAACAAATCCAGAACAGAGAAGGACATTTTGACTGCACTCCCTCCCTCTTCCTCCCAAACATGGATCATTTCCCTCTCTTCACTGTGTGCAACTGTACTAACAGCAGGAGAAGGGAGGGGGCTGTTCAACCCTGAACTACAGCAGGGGAAGAGGGCAGGGTTGAAAAAAATAAAAAAAATCATAAAAATAATAATAAAAAAATCATACTGCACTCCAAGTACATGCACACCAAGGACTCCCTGCATTCCTCTAGCATCCTCCTCTCTCCAACAAGCTCTCTGAAAGAGCTCATTTCCTTCAAGTGTCAGGATTCCTGGACCTTCACTGTCTTATTTCATGCCAAATAACCTCCTTCTCCCATTCACAACTGATTGCTCTGTTCCTCACTGATTGGTATTGGATGAATTTCCCACTCCACTCAGTGCTTCACACTTCTCTGCACAGTCAGGGGATTCGTCCTTCACACTCTCCCCCACTTACACACACACCCAGTTCATAGCAGCTTCTCCAGTTCGACCTCTTTTACTTCTCTATTCTCTCTCCCAGAAACCTCAGTTGTGCCCTTGCTGTTTACATAATATCATGCCTGTGAATATCTTCCCCTCATTTTTCCCTCTGGCAGGAAAAACTTCAAGATAATCCCTCTTTCAGTTTTAAAGGTGGTTTGTTTGTTTGGAGAAGTTTGTTGGTTTTTTTTTTTTAAGAAAGGTTTTTAAAAAGAGAGAGAGAGAAGCGGAGACAGCACCTCATCAATGTTCCTCTCCCTCCAAGCAGTTAATAGTAGAGATAGCTGGAGTCACCTAGACCCTCCACTGCTTTTTGGTCTCCCTAGATGTATGGCTTTCTAAACAGCATGTTTCAGCAAGGTATGACATCCTTTTATAAATTCACTACACTATTTCTTAAACAATTCTATGGAGATAGCCATCACAAGCCTCCCTTCCTTCCCTCTGCATGAGAACCCTTGACCGCTGCCCCCTTTTGCTATAACTGCCCGAACTGCATATCCATAATCCATGCTTTTCTCTTCCTGTCTTCCCTCTATTCCAAGTTGTTTGCTGAGATCCTGCTGTAATTGCTACAAGATTCAAGATTTTTTTAATAAATTCAATACAAAGTAATAATTACAGTTAGTGTGCATTTCTGTCCTAAAATTCCAGCTTCCCAAACCATTCTAAGATTCTATGACTCTATAAAAGGGGGTAGATCTAGACTAGATATAAGGACGATTTTTTTTTTATGATGAGGGCTGTAAAACACTGGCACAGGTTGCCCAGAGAGGTTGTGGATGCCCCATTCCTGGAAATACTTGCAGTGAGGTTGGATGAGGCTCTAAGCAACCCAATCTAGTTGAAGATGTCCCTGCTCATGGCAGGGGGGTTGGACAGAATGGCCTTTAAAGGTCTCTTCCACTCAACTGTTGTATGCTTTTAGAGAGACCTGTGGCTGAGCTTGAAGGATTACCTAAGTTAGGCCCCTCCATGAGCAACCATGACAGTAGAGGATCAAAGTTACCTGTCTCTCTTTTAGAAATACAGAGAATTATGTCTAGTCAGTTCTCTTCCCAGTTTTACCCAGAATGGGGAGGAGTACATGAGATTCACCTGCAAAACCTAATGAACTGACTGCAGCTACTTCAGAGAAGTCTGCTGGCAGTGGAGCAAAACAATTCACTGGCAAATGGTGGGGATAAAATGGAAATCCTCACGTACAAAGCGCTCCTTTTTGCACTCTAACACAGCAAACACACATTGCTCATAGTTAACATCAGCAAAACTTTTCATTCCTAATATTTTGTAATTAGTGTCAAAAAACCCCAAACAACCCCAAAACAAAATATAACCCAGGCTGCAGTCATGGTGAACCAGATATTTCAGCCCTCCACAGAAAATGAAATGTGCAAGTGACCTCCTCACCACCACACCTGTATATTATTTTTATAGATTACTCTCCTAAGTTACAGAGGGTAGGAAACGGGACAAACACTCAACAAAACTGCACACACACGGATTTTGGTTACAACAGTGCTTGAAGGGTGCAATCTGCTAATGGCTTAGCTGCAAATAAGAAGGCTTATGTTGAAACGTGCATTTACAGGAGGCAGTGAAACAACCCATGTTCCTGCTAGACAAGAAGACATTCCTGAAGCAGACAATATTTTATAAATCCAAAACATACTGTGTTGGTCAGTAACAAACTGGCTTTTAGTGGCTACTGATGCCGATGAAGACAAAAAGAACAGTGTATAGGGAAATAATGCCTCCACATTAAGAGACCAAGGGAGCATTGTATGGTTTGAGACATTAATTGCATTGGGGTTGGGGGTAAGCAGTATGAAATTGTGGAAATCACTGCAATATGACATAATGGAAGCTGAAAGAACAAACAGGTTCAAAACAACTAATTCAAAGGGCAAAATCATGAGGTGGAAAGTGTCCATGGGGAAACAGATCCATCAGCTGCTGTTCTAGCAAGTAACCCAAGCAGAATCCCCTGCAAAGAAACTGCTAAACCACAGTCTTGGCAGCTGGAAGGGTGTATTGGAGAAAAATGTCTTTTCCAAGCATCCGTCAGCAGCTACTCTCTGAGGGATTTCAGCTACCAGTCTTACTTGTTTTGGACAGTTTGTACAAACATCAAGACTTCTGTGTTTTTAATAAAGGCCTAACAAAATAGCCCACTTAAAACTGGTTAGGGAATAAAAAACAACCACACAAACCAACTCAGAACCACCCCCTCCCCCCCAAAAAAACAAACTCAAACCAAAACCTGTTTGTTATTTTATCCAAGTCTTCTATCCAGTGCACCCACTCTTCCATCAAGAGAATAGAACAAATTCTTGTTTGTCCATCAGGTAATCAAAACTTGTTCATGAATGGAAGAGTTGCCTAGGCCATATGGAGAAGTGGTGTTGAAGTTCACTATGATATGAGTTCAATCTGTGATTTCAATCATCTTTAACATCATCTTCAGTTCCACCTACCCCCTCCAGTCTATACCTCCCAGCCAAAACTACAAAGTAGATATTACAACAGCACGAGCACCTATTAGTGTTGTAACAGTTCCAGCTTTTTCAAAAAGCCATCCAGAAACATGACCTCACCTTAGGTGGAAGACAAGCTGAGTCATTAAACAAGCAAAGTAGAATGATGCTTCTAAAATGATGCAGCAAGAGAAAATCAGGGCTACTCTCAGCAGTGCAGAGGCAAGAAACAAAACAACAGGATGAGTCTGGCTTCACAGTACATATTTATAAAGGATATACTGACATCTGAACAAAAAAGTGTAGTCCAAACTGTAGGTTCTTAAAAAATTCAGCTTCCACAACAAAAAAAAACAAACAACACCTCAAAATCCACAAAACCAGTAAAGTTCCTGAAACCCAACCTAAGGTTTCTTGGAAGGAATAATTCCCTGGATGTCTGCAACACAACTTTTTTCTTTCGGTACAAGAGTCTTCAAGAGAAAACAACTTAAAATTTACTTTCTGCTTTTATATTTGAATAGCAAAGAGAAAAAGTTAAAATGAACATCCAGACACATAGCTGGCACTCGACTGATCTTTTCATCACAAAACTAAGCTAAAGGTAGCAGTTCCACAAATATTTTAATTCCAAAAGTGCCACTAGAAGACAATACACGGTTTCCAACCATTCGGTATCACCTCTGTTCTCCCTTCTCCTACTACCGAACGCCAGAGTGCCTGGTGATGTATATCAGGGCAGTGATTAGGGCAAGATCAAAGCAAAATTAATTGTGATTTGCATCAGATTCCTGATATGTCTGTCACAAACACCTCTGCTAGCACAAAGGGCAAAGCAACTAGAGAAAAAGAAATGTTCTTCTAGCATGAACGCTCACCAAAGTAAATCTATGTAATTAAAAAAATGAAAACAACCAACAGCCAACCTGTGCTATTAGGATTTAAGCCCACCAGAACACAAGGAAAACTGCCACCTTTCAAGGTATTTTACCCACATAAAACAACTTTGCCCTGATAATTGCTACCCAAACTACCATAAAGAGACTGCAATGGGAAACTTCTAACAGGCTGTGAAGCTGACAGAGCTCCTTAAATTGTCAGAGAAACTGCAGGCAACGCAGTTCAAGTGACAGCAGCCCCACGTTAAGAAGCCTGTTTTCCCTCCAGAAGTTAAAGCGATTAAATATTTCCCACACGAGGACAGGAAACATTTAAGCTACTATCAGCTAACACACCTGCGACATCACCGAGCCGCAGCTGTGAACCAAGCGATGCTGAAGGGGCAGGAGCCATATCCCAGGGCCAGCTCCAGCCAGCCCTGCCCCGTTCCTGGGCACATCCCGCACTCTCTCTCCTGACCAGCAGCTGGTTCTGCCTCCATGGCCCCTGTGCTACAGCGTTCCTCCTGAGCCCCTAGGGTTACCTTTCCTACCCAGCAAGCTGAGGCACACACGGGATATGATGGTCGGTGGAGGAGTCTGGGGTCCCACGCACCAGTGCGAACCACACCGTGCAGTGCAGGACGGTGCCCACCGAAGGCCCGGCCCCGCGGGGCCCTCTGCTCAGCGAAGGGCCGGGCAGGAGAGCGGAGCCCACTGAACCTCGTCCTTTCACAGCATTTTGGCATTCAAACCTTAACATCCATCTCCAGCTTGACCCCTGCTGCCCCGAAGTGTGAGCCTCGCACCGCCGCTCCCCTGATTTCTCAGGACAAACCCGCAGCGCTGCCTCAGCCCCCGTTCCCACGGGACGCCCGGTGCAGCCGCCAGTGACGGGGCACCGCACCCCGCGGGGCACGGCCCGGGGCCTCCGTGGGCGGCCAGGACGCACCAGCGGGCACCGGGACGCGTGGGGCGGTCGGCGGGGAAGGGGTCGGGCTGTGCCGGAGAGGCGGCGGCCGCGGCTGGCGGTACCTGCTCGGCGGCGCTGGGGCAGCAGGCGATGAGCGGCAGCGCCGTCAGGCAATTCAGCAGGAGGCCGCCCATGGTGATGGCGTTGGGCGCCAGCCCCAGCGGGACCTGCTCCACCAGCCAGCCCCAGTACGGCTGCAGCCACGGCTCCAGCAGCGAGCGCCCGGCCGCGCTGTAGCGGTGCTGCTCCAGGCGCTTCAGCTGCGCCGGGCTGAGGGGCGCGGGCAGAGCCCAGGGCACGGCCATGCCGGCACCGCCGCACCGGACGGCACCGGGGTCACGGAGCCGCCGCCGCCGCCGCCGCTCGGGGCGGGGCCGGGCCGGGGGCAGCGGCGGAAGAGGCCGACGCCCAGCAGCGGCCTGGCCGGAGGGCAGCGGCCCCCCCCGCCCCCGCTAGCGGAGGGCAAGCGTCTTCACCCCCGGCGCGCCTCAGGCTCCGTTGCCCCGAGGGCGCCGCGTTCTTCCGCCACTGCAGCGGGCAGGGCCCCACCTCGCCGTGCTGGGATGGGGATCCCCCGGCGGCGGGGGAAGCCCTCGGTCGTGGCGGGGGTGCGCCCCGGCAGGGCCCGTCCATCCCCCGGGCCGTGGGCAGTGACGGGCCGTGCTGGTCCCCGGGGTGATGCGCCCACGTGGATGCGGGCAGCGTGGGTAGAATCCCCTTCTCCCCTGTGATTTTCCTCATTCTGCTTATTTTATTTTCACGCGTTTCATCGTGCCGATGGTGGCCACAGCGGGGGCACGCAGAAGGTGGCCGGCAAGGATTTTTGCTGGAGAAAAGTATAAGGGCAGCAGGTGACCTCCCTGCAGCCAGCAGGACAGGGCCTGCAGGTAGGTGACCCCCCTCTGTCAGCCAAAGGTCCTTCCAGAGGAGACTGGAGCGTGGTTTGCCTGGGGAGTTCTGGTCTTAACATGTTGTGGGACACCCAGACACGGTGTTAGCACAGGACTTAATTTAACTTCTCGGCCTGCATAGAGAAAGCACTTCAAAACAAATACGCTTTTTCAGTAGTGGCACATCAAATTATTTGAATTGGTGGTCGTGTGAAGGATTTTAGATGTATCCCTGAGTCTCTACTGTGTGTGGTTTCTGAGGGAGACTGAGGAAAGGTGAGCCCTGTGTAGCTGTGTGAAAGATGAAGTAGCAAGTGTAAAATGCATCCTGCAATGAGTATTATAAACCCAAATGACATCTTAGTTTGGAATTCTTTTTTAAGTTACCCCATTATGAGCCAGAAGGTACAGCTTTCTGGCCAGACAAAGCTACTTCCTGTTATTCAAAGGGAGCTGATTCACTTCAACTGATAAAGTTAATATGTTTTTGAGTAGGTTTCTTTACTGCAAGAGTCAGGCTAAAGAGTGGTTTCAAAATCCCATGAGGCAGTATGCACTTTCCAAGTGCTATGTCATTCATCAGCTGATTTAATTTACAGATCACTAAAAAACAGTATGGTACAGTATGGTACAGCAATTGTCATTAGAGGATAAAACATAGAAGAGAGGAACTGCTAGCAAAAGAAGAGGTAGCAGCCAGCTGGAGAATGGCTAAAGGGAAATGCGACAAATTCACAACCAGGCAGATCCCCAGTCCACTAGGATCACTGGGAAGAATGTAAAACTCTCTTTCTTTTAGTACCCTGTGCTTTACTGTTGCCAATGAACATAATGGTACTGGTATTTATGGAGAGGTTGCTCAAGCTCTTAGTGATACCAAGAGTTAAAGAAGAGAAACTAGGGAAAAAAATGGAGGGGAAAGTAAGTGGCATAAAAAGCCACATGAGTAGAGGAAGAAACAGATTCCCTACTGAATTAGTCACTAGGCTTGGAGAAGGGTTTGTTTTAATTTAAAAAATATTCAGGAACTAAGTATAGAACAAGAGCACATAGATTTAAAGTCCAATGTGTTTAGACTTCCACCACTTCCTCAGTATTCAGGACACATTTTGCTTCCAAATGCTCTCTGCTTCAGCAAAGCAGCAGCTTCACTTGTCAGTCAGGAAAGCAGGACATGAAAATCAAGTGACAGTAAGTACTCTGTGCTTAAAATAGAATGCCTTTTGCTCCAGAATCTCAAGATGCAACAAAAGATTTTCATAAAGTAAGAGTCCCTTCACAATGCTCTCTAAAAGGTAGCAATATTATACTTTTTCCCCTTATAAAGAAGTTCAGGAAGCTTGAAACATTTTTTTATAAGAGGAGTATTTTTAAAAATTTCTGACTCTCCATAAAGACCTCCTTATAAACGGCATATCCCAGTTTAAATAAGCTTTACAAGATTACATGTAATCTTGTAAAGCAGTTTTTTTCCTGCTTCCCTTCCTGTATTTCTGAGATTGTTTTTGGTGAGGGAAAAGTGTGCTGACAGTGGCCACAATCTTGCAATGCAATGGGTAACTATAGTGCCTGTATCAAGCTCTCCATACAGCAATTCAAGAATGGATCTGTGTTTATACAACCATAACATTTATATGCCAATGCCCTTCCATGGGCAAGGAGGGCAAGTTAAAGGAAGACAAAATATTTTCCTCTGACTTCCTTAAAAATAACCCCCTTTTTTTAAAATTAACTTTGATTCATCTTTGTGTGTGTGTGTATCTATGTGTGTTTACATGTTTGGGTCTGCCTTCTTAGTCCAAGGATTGATGTTCCTCGGCTTATGTACACTAAGGCAGAGCTTTCAAAAATACTGCACTCCTACTAGATACAGGAAAGTGTGCAGAAAAGAAAAATCTTATTAAAGATTCTACTGAACTATAACCTCAGCACATACTAGTTGATGGAGACTGTACGTAGCAAACAGGTAATATGAATAATGTATCTAGCTGAAGACTTAAACTGGTTTCACATATTATGAGGCATCAGGGAATACAACATGATGCACAAAACTGCTACTAGTTTCACTGCTTCCTTAGCTTTTGTGTTTTGTTACTTTATCTCATATGACCAGGTTTTATTTGCTGTCCTCTGTTACTCCTATGTCTCTTTCAGGTTCACTAATTACCTGAAAATTCCATGTGACTTTGGAGAAATTTATTCTTCAGAGCATTGTGCCACATCTTTTACAGCATGATATTCTGCTGCTTCTATTTCACCATAAGTTATTTTGCCTGTACTTGTTGTTGTCTTTGGCACATCTTCATTCTCCTAAGCTGGTATTAGCTGCAGATTTCATTAGCATTTTCTGAACTCTGTAGGTTTGGTCACTATTTCATCTATCAAACATCATCCCTGGAGAATCCCATTAAACAAATCGTCATAAATCAAAAGTTTACCTTTTCTTATTCTCTCTGTATAAGGCTCTGCAGCCTGTTTTAGATCGACTGGAAGTCCCTTTCCTGTCCCAGCCCATTCAATCATTCCTGTCAAAGTCAATTAATCTTTAATCCAGAGCCTTGGCTGCTCAGCGTAGTTGGTGAGACCATGAATTTATAGCACACTAATGCCCACTCATCTCAGTTCCACCCACGGCTCGATACCCAGCACTTCCTGCTGCCGTACTGCATCTCCAGCCTGAGCGATGGCCAATGGCAAATGCTGGGAAACGCAACTGGGGAGGAACTGAGGGCACCTGAGCGTAACGCTTACGTTCACATGGAGAAAAGTAGCTTAGTTCAGCTTGTCGTTTAACACTGCTGGCATCTGGTAGAAATTAGAGCAGCTAATTCCATCATCAGTGGGCCTACAGGAGCTGAGGTTTATGCTGGCTTCCACGTTATTATGTGTTTATAAAGACCGAGGAGGCAGATAGACAAACTCAGAGCTGTAAACATCATTGTGTACAAAGTGGAAATGGTTGTGTGCATCATTTTTGGTGTACTGACAAGCACGACCTCACAATAACTGTAGCTTTTGGGGCTGACTATAACAGGCTGGTACTACCTTAAATGAGGGCCATGTGCTTAAGTGCTTAAACCTCCATGGCATTTATTCAAACTGACCCGCTCCCGCAGCCTTCTGTGCTTCAAAATAGATGGAGTCCCAATTCACTGGTGATATACAGAATAAACAGAAATTATTAATCCTTTATTTATATCTTGTCTTACTAGATGTGTTGCTTTCTTTCATGTGTAGGCGTGAATGAATGTGTAGGAGGGTATTGATTTTGGCAGGAGCAGGGTGAAATGCAGGTGTGTGTGGGAGGGAGTTGTCCAGGATCGCTGGAAATGCAGAATGCTTCCCTGTACAGATAGCACTACTGAGGGAATCACAAAGATAGAAAGGACGGAGAGAAGTGAGTAAGTAAAATTCACAGAACAACATGAGAAAATCCAGAGTGAAAGAAGAGCTAATTAAACTGCAAAAACACCAGTTCAGCCGTGGCAGTTCGTAGTAACACATTCTTTATTATTGCATAATTACTGACTGTTGAATGCTTGAAAACGCACTAACATCAAACAAACGTCTTGTAAGGTACTACTGGTCTAAGTAGAACTTTATCTTTCTAAACTGTAATTGGAGATCAATCATTAGCCAGTAAGCACATAACCTGCCCTGTCTGCATAGCCAGAGTGAGAACTGGTAAATAAATGACAGGGCAATAGGGAATTGACAACCCGGCCAAAATATGTGTGACCTTGTGTCTCATGTGCTTCAGAGTTTGCTGGAGACTTGGGGACAATCACCCCCACTCCTAAAATACTTGGAAGTTAATGATGCCAGAGTTGGAGAAGTAATGCAGCTGTTTTAGCCCGTCTCAGGCGCTTTTGCCTTGCACAGTGAACTCACTAGGGCTCTGGTCTGAGTCCCTTCTCAGATACGATACCTAAAAGAGCTCCACGAATTGCTGAGGAAAGGGGGTGGATTCACAATGATGAAAGGCATTGTGGTTGGTATTTATAACATTTAAAATATTTAAATGTGTATATGTAAGAGGAGACAGGAAGAAAACCCATAAACAAGAACTTAGTAGATCTTAAACACTTAATATTTATTGTACATTAAATAAAACAATTTCAGTTAAGTTGAGAGACTGATGGGTTGGATTTAGGAAATCAAAACTTCTATAGGAAGATATGTTCAGCTTAAATGATCATTAAGTACATACGTATTAGTTACATTATAGTAAAACCATATTGTGTTAAACAATTCTCAGGTGAATCAGATACATTATCAAAGAGGTATGTATTCCAAGGGTCTTATTGCACAGCTACTGGCTAATCCGTGCACTTCCAGTCTGAGAAAGATATGCTTTGTGCCAGCGAGTACAGACTCCGACTGCCTCCTCATGTTTATTACACAGTTTCTCCTCTTTCCTCATTAAAAAACAGAACACAATATCAAACAGAAAATAAAGCTGAACATTACAAAATGTGTGTTGTCTTCGGTTCATTTA